ATGTTACCAGAAGGAAACGAAATGTACAGTAGTACATATGAGGCCAAGAAATGATTCAAAGCAATGGGTTCAGGGTATACAAAAGGTACATGCATGTGTCAACAACTGTATACTTTATAGGAACAAATATGAACACACCACAGTATGTCCCACTTGTGGTAAATCAAGATGGATGGTGGATGAAAAAAAAATTAAAATTTACAAGAATATTCCAGCAAAAGTGTTGTGGTACTTTCCAATAATTACACGAATGAAACGACTGTGACAACTGGTAGTTCTAGGTTAATCAAAGTCAAAAAGTAAGCTAAAGTCAAACAAGTCAACGAAAGTCAACTGATTAGGACATAAATTTGTGGTTTATACTTAGCTTTTAGAGTTCTCGGTTTAGGACTGAAAACACTATGATCTCGGTGGCACTTGGACCTAAATCACCATGTGATTTCGGTGGGATCAATGATATCTCCGTTGAATAAACAAAAATCCTACTTTTGGATTAGAAACATTAATTTCGATAATTCCAACATATATTATTGTAGTATAAATAATATTTTGAACACATTGTGCTATTATTTTTATTGATACTACTTCCTTTATAATGATTTGAATTTTTATAATTCAAATTAGATAATTAGACATTAGTTTTACCATTTTTTTATAAAACACTCATCTTTTTATTAAAACTCTTAGTTTTTATAAACGATAAAAGGGTTGACTTTGGGTGCATGGAAATCCCCAAAATGAGTCAAATCCTACTCCAATTTCCCAACAAAACTAATACCCAACATACACCCACGTATTATCCAACATGTAACCAAGCAAACATCCCATCACCCAACCCCACCACCCTCCCTTCCCCCTCCCCTATAAATTTCGTCCAACCCCCCACCACCCCCCCCCTCTCATTTCACCATCTTCATCTTCTTCATTCTCTCAATTTCTCTCAAGAACACTCTATTGTTCTCAAGGTTAATTGTCCACAAATTGGTTCTTCAAATTTTGGTAAGCTTTCCTCCATAGATCTACTGTTTTTACACACATTAATACTAGTTTTGTTACATTTACACACATTTACATGTGCTATTATCCATAGGGTAATTCGACATTCAAGTGTTCTTCAAACATTTTTAAGTGTTCTAAGCTTGAAAATCTTCATCTTCATCTCTTTATCCAACCACAAACACACTCAACGCGAGTTCATACCCTTCATTTTCGAGTTTTTCAAAGTTTTAGGGGGGGGGGGTACAAGTAAACAAATCCTATTTGGGTGATCTAAAGGCTTTGCAAATTAAAAATACAAGTTATGTCACTAAAATATATCTAAGCTTAAAAAAGCTTTTTACAGAAAAGTTGTGGTCTGTTCACCGACTGTTTTTCTCTACTTAAACTTCGTATATTTCAAATCTGTTCAACATGCAAATATTTCAGGTATATACCTTCTTAAGGACTACTCGCACGTGCTCATACGATTTTTCTACAATTTATGGTAATTTTTACAAAACTGCCTATCATTTCAGAACATTTTCGGACCAGTCTGTAAAAATGAACGTTTCCACTCTGGTTAGAAACCACTTAAGGTCAGGGAAAAATATTACGGACGAAGTAGACTCATTTTCTAAGCTCTGAGAGTTCACGAATCAAAATTTCAACTTACGATAATGTTTCTATAATTTTTCTAAAAACAGTGACAGAAAAGTCAAAAACCAGAAATTGTCTTTATTATACTAAATGTTTCATACTTGTGTTTAGATGTAAGTTTATATGTTATAATATTTCAAAACATCTAGACATGATAACTTACATGTGTTTATATATTTGATTATATAAATGGACTTAACAAAACATTCACAATAAACAATAACTGGTATAGTTTACGGGTCAGAAATACTACTTTATCTTTTCGGACGAAAGATATAATTATTTAAAGGTGTAATTATTTCTACATTATGTAACCACTATGGAAGAGTAATACTTTAATTTACAAGAAAACGAGTTTTTAGTACAATAGACGTAAACTGGTTGATACTGGTTGTGAGACAGTTGGCTTCACCGTACCCACCAGAGTACACATACTAAGACCTGCATTATAACCAGAGTCTCTTGTAGGGAGATCATGTCACTTGTATATAGATCTATACGGGATTGACAACCCCGCACCTAAGATGTTAGCTACAGTCAGACCGGCAGGTCTAGGGTGACTGTAGTTGAGAGTTGCGTTTAATCAAGTATGAGAATCAAATCAGAGTAAATGATGAACACGAGATGTAATAAAGTCTGGTTTAGCTCATATTACTTTCAATGAAGAAGAGTACAAAACTGATAGTAAACATGAGAAAAAACTCTAGTATCAACTCTAGTATCAACTCCTATTTATAGGAGGCTGAAAGTACAAAAAATACTAACGTTGGACATTACGCTTCATTAAAAAGAAGCCTTAGCAAATACATAGAAAATATACGAAATAGACAAATACACAGACTTTGACATATTACAAGACATTTCGACTCTACAATCTCCCCCTTTGTAATCATGTCGAACTTCTCAATTCGTGAGAATCTGTGCAGCAAAATACATCATCCTTCGTATATCTGAGTACCATGTCATCACCTTCCTTAACTCAACTTTATCTCCATCATTATTCTTCTTGCAATTATTCATACGAACAATGAAGTTCGTATATTGCGAAGTAGTATATCTTTCTATCTCTGAAGACTGGAATAAAAACCTCTTAGCTTTTCCATTCTTGTCTTTTCCAGCAAAGACCAATCCAAAAGGCGTTAAGCATATCTCCCCATCAGCATATTTCTTCAGTTCAGCTTGAGTCTTCGACAATTCCATAGCCACTTTCACTTCCTTCCGAAGAGTCGTTGACAATGCAACATCAGTCAAGGCTAGACAATTATAATAATTGTCTATGACAATTTTGATATGACCAAGACCTAGTCTCAAAATTTCCTTATTAGTTCCTTGAAGTTGCGAAGCCTCCATGTCTTTCAAAATTAATGCAACTTGAATCAGGTCATTCAAGTTCATTAGAGGAAAATCAGCAATTGAGAAATCACATACTTGATTGTTCGCTCTTACAACATGATACCAAAAATTATGTATCATATTCTCGAACATTACATCTTTTGTTATACTGACAACCTTCTTGATTTTGATGAGTGACCACACTTCTTCTTGTTCCTTTCCCACAATAGCATGAAACCTAAGTTTCATATGAAGAAAGTCATCTTCTTTCTTGAACTTCTCTATCACCTAATACTGAGCAGTAATGAACATCATTTCGTTAACAGGAAAGTCGAGTTGATTCATATCAGAATTTTCGATAGAATAACTCCTTCGTGGTTTCTTCTCGAATGCATACATTTGATTGTATGGCACTCTGACTTCAATGTTTTCGTAACTATGCAACTTCTTTGGATCTCCCTTATCCATACCAGGTGGATCATTCTCACGAAGCCTCATAATGCTTTGAATATGTCTTTGTCTCTCCATTTCAGCTTCTATCTCAGCCTTCTTCTCTTTTTTCGATTTTTCAATCACAATCCCTTCCCTTTTCCATCATCTTCGGAAGGTTTTGGTTTAGAAGAACTTGAACTTCCTCCTCAAGTTGTTTATACAAACACAATCCCTTTCACTATTGGTTTTGTTGTTGTCTTGATGGCTTCTGTTGTATTCACTTTTGGAACTATACGTATTGAGACTTGAGTAGATACAACTTTCGTTAATTCACCAGCAGTAGTAACAATCTTCTCAATCTTTTTCGGCTTATCAACCCTTTTTGTAATTTTCAAAGATTTTCCTTCTTGAATTTTCTTTTCTCCCCCTTGCACCCCTGTGACAACAGTTGGGGTACCAGCAGGCAACATGTTGGCAAATTTCGAAATTGGAGCAACAACCTTCTGAATGGCTTGATCCAAACTATGTAGCTTCTGAGTTAAAAAATCAGGTGTTAAGAACGAAGTTAGAGCTGGTTTCGACACTAACTCCTTCAGTTCACCAAGCAAAACACCCATCTTGTTGAAATTTTGAGCATGTGCTGTATCCTTTGCATCAAACTTGGGAGTTAGTGCTTGATACCATTCAACAACCGTTCTGACTGTAGCCGCTATAGTATCAACATTCGACTTGATTGTTGAATAATTGGAATTCAGATCATTCAGCTCTTTGGATACATCAACCTTCAGCTCTTTAAGTTTGCGATTGACATCTTTTCGTACTGTCTTGACATCTTTAACAAAAAGAACATGTCTTTCTTTTGCTGTCAAACGAAGATCTTTGAGTGCAGAATTAAACGAATCAGTCTGAGATTTGATCCTTAATTCGTTACTTTTATCCATAACATCCAATTGCTTCTGCAGTCGAAGCTCCATTGCCTTCAACATAACATCAACCTCTATTCCTGAAACTGAATTCTTTCCACCAGAATCAGCTTGTGACTGGAGAATAGAGTTAAGCTTCCTGTTCAGAATTTTAAACTGCTTACCAGACATCAACATGTGATCCGGTATATCCTCTTCTTCAGAATCAAAATGAAGATCATCAAACGTTCCTCCGAAACCTCCTCCATCTGTTTTATCATCGGAATTTGGTTTTGGTGGATCGGTGGATTGTGATGGGAAAAGTGTAGTGAAGGGTTGGTGTAATAATTGATCAAACGTTGGTGAAGTAGTGGTATTGGAAATGGGTTTAAGAAAAGGTGGAAGTGAAACAAAAGTGCTTGAAATAGGTGTAGAAGAAGATATAGTAGGAATACCTTGAAATGATGGATCAACACTCACCACAACATGTGCACCCGTATCAGATACGTTTGCAACAACGGGAGAAATTGTAACCTTCTCAGGAACTGATTTGGGTACAACAATTTCGAGTGGAACTGTTGTTGTTGGCAACGAAACATTTGTGAGAATCTGTGGTTGTGAGATTTTTGGGGAATTCGAACCCAAAGGTGATTCTGGTATGACCTCGCCATCTAATGACTCATCTTGAACCACCAGCTTTCATTTCTTTCTCTTCTTATTGATATGCTTCACCATATCCTCAACTCCTTGCTTCTTGGATGATGGTGAAACTGGTGCAGGAATCTCACGAACTTTCACTCCTTTTCTGTTTAGATGAGGTTTGCGAATAGTTGGAGATTGATCTTCTGATGAAGTTCGTTTCTTAAAAGAGAAATTACTTAATCTTTTGAACACACCAGATTTCGAAGGAATCAATTCCCTCGAAGAGTCAGGAACAACCTTCTCCTTAGGCTTCTCAGTTTCGTTTGCAATCTTCTTAGGAGACGTAGACTTAGCTTGTTTCTTGGGGCTTTCGGGAACAACATTATCATCTCCCTTCTTTGACTTCTTGGATGAACCTTCACCACTTATTTTCAGTAAAATCCCAGTTTCGACTGAAGGATTAACATGTTGCAAGTATGCCACCAATACTGAATTTGTTGGATCAACTTTCTTCAACATCCCATCAGGAATTCGAGCAACATTTGGGAATACTTATGAATCATCTGCAACAGTCTTTAGAAAATGATACTTCACGAATTCTGTCTTAGCCTCATCAGCAGGAACTGGAATACCTTCTTTCTCATATACATACTGAAGAACCAAACTCCAGTAACATGCACACGAAATTCTTTTTACCACATCGTGTTTTCCAGGCTCTTGATTAACTCTTTCCAAATCTGAGTAGCATAATCAACATTGAGATCATAGTACAACCCTGCTACCATAGCATAACTTCCATTCTCCCCTTATCAAGCCCTACACTTCGCCCAGTTAAGCAACGAAGCTATATCCCGAACAAAAAATTCCATATGCAAGGAAAACCAGACTTCTTGAAATCACTGATCTTAACGAGTGGTGGCTGATGACCTGTCTCGTTAAACATGAACATAACTTGATCAGCAGTAGGTTTAAAGAATGGAGGGGAATTTGGAATCACCAAGATTTGAGTAAACAACTTCTTCGTGTGTCGAATTCTCTTTTCATTCACCAGATTGAATGTGATTACATCAGTGGCCTTGCTGTAAGAAGCAGTGGAACCGGCCATTGATAACCATGACAACGGGACTTCAAAAGCATGGAACATCGCAGTTGCGAGACCTGAATGTTGAAGAGCAACAATCAGCATCTTGAGTTCTTCAGGATATATTGACACATCTCCTTCAACTTGATAGTTGGTGCTTTGAATCTTCATAAGTGGTTGAGATGCAATTTCGTCAGTAGTGTCTGTTCGAGCAGCAGCCATTGATTAGGGTTTTGAGAAATTCTTGAAGAACAGAGAAATTTAGGGCTTTTTGATCGTCTGAGAATTTAAACGTGTAATGAGAAAAGGAGATTATAACTTCCTTTTATATGTATCCCCAATATAATTCCAAACGGTTTCTTTAAAGAGTAAGCCACGTTTGTCCTTGAATCTCGCACCATTAGATGTAACGTGTACCATGTCAGATAAAGTGCCTTGAAAGTCGGACCGCGTTGCCAAACCGTCACATCAAATTGTTCGTGAGTACCAAGTGTATAAGATCGAAAACCTTCGGCATAGAGGTTAGGCTCTTTCGGCTTTGGGATTAGAGACGAAGTCATATGCCAGACTGTCGAAATCATCAGCCTGAGTTGGTAATACTCAGAACCTCAAGGATTTCGTGAGTGCAGTGAGCCGATAGAATAAGATAAGAAGCAAACTAACGAAAAGTTGGGATCTATGATGTCGAAAAATAAAATTTCGACAGAAAGGCAGTTAAACCCCGGGCAAAGGTTACTTCGTTAATTATCAAGATAGATAATCAACAACTTGTGTGGTTTCCCGTGAATTACAATCGAATACTTATCAAGAAGTATCGAAGGGCTTCTTTTTCAAGGCATCATGGGTGGCTTAAAAATTTCGTTACATATCATCCTAAACATAAGGTGAGTAATTGTAACAAAAATTACTTGTGTGACCAGTGTAATCAGTGACAAGTATGCTTTGGATTAATTTGAAATTGACAATTAAAAGAATTGATACTCCCACGAAAATCATATTCAAAGAAAAATTATTTTCAGTTGGATCCTGTTGGGTAACAAATGTCGTGGGCTTCGAACATTGGATCAAGACCACTCATAACAAAAGAATATGATTTGGAGCATCGAAATTTTGGTACTGAAACAAATGTTTCGTGACAATATGGAACATAGTTCCCCGTCAATTCCTTAAAAAGTTAGAAAATTGGGTTTCACTTTCATCACGGCCTCATGAATGAAGATCATAAACACGGAGTTTTGATATGTCTAAGTCATGATTGGTATGATCAATGACCTCTTGGACATACGTCATTGTTTGTGAAATGTGTTAGAAGTTTGAGATGAAAAAGGTTGTTTCACGAATTCAATTGTACCTCTGTTATGCTTGGACCAAACAGAAAACTCTTAACTCATTTGAGAAGAGTTAGGTATCTCAGTAGACTAATGTGAATGCAAGCCTGATTGGGAAGAAATTTTTGTAATGAAAAATTTCATTAAGGCTTTCGAAATCACACATTGAGTCAATGGAGGCTTGGGTCGACATGTTGTAACATGCTTCTAAGGATATTCTAACTAGTACAAAGTGTCGAAAATTTACCTTACCCTAGAAACGCAAGCTTGACCCTTGTAAAACTTCCTTGGAATCTGCACTCAGAAAGAAAAGACAAAATACAAAATAACAAAAATCTTTTTGGTGTTTTATGTTTTTGAAAAGAAAGAAAATATTTTTGTGTTTTTAAATTTTTCGAAAATTAAAACAAATAACAAAAGAAAATCTTTTTGGTATTTTTGATTTTTCGAAAGAATACAAATTAACGAAAATATTTTTGATTTTTCCAATTTTTCGAAATTAAAAAATAAACGAAAACTTAAGAATGTACCAAATTAACAAAACTTTTCTCTCCTAAATGTCGAAAATGAAGCGTATCGAAGCGCTGAATATGAACATTAACCTCTGAATGGTTAATACTATACGCCTCTGAATCATCCAATGATGCCTCTGAATCGACACTTTTTTATCTTCTTTCTTTGTTATTCTTTCGAAAGTAGTCCTGGAACCGAACTGGCTTCAATCATTCCCAATCCTGTCAAAATTCTAACAAATGATTTTACGTCCAATGCTTTTGTAAAAATATTAGCAAGCTGATCAGTTGTTTTTACAAATGAACTTCAATATTGCCATCTTCCACATGATCTTTAATGAAATGATAACGAAGTGCAATATGTTTGGTTTTCGAATGTTGTACTGGATTATGACAAATGCGTATAGCACTTTGTGAATCACAATACAATGGAAACTTTTTCATATTAATTGCATAGTCACGCAATTGACTCTAGATCCATATGATTTGCAAAGTGCAAGCAGCAGCTGCAACATACTCAGCTTCAGCAGTAGAAATTGCAACACACGTTTGCTTTTTCGATTGCCAACTTACAAGCTTCCCATCTAACAATTGACATCCTCCACTTGTACTTTTTCGATCAAGTGTACATCCTCCCAGATCTGCATCCGAAAAAACTTGAATGAAAAATCCTGATTTCGAAGGATACCATAATCCTAACGAAATTGTTCCCTTGAGATAACGAAAAATATTTTTCACTGCAGTGAAGTGTGGTTCTCTTGGATTTGCTTGATACCTAGCACAATTACATATAGAAAACATGATATCAGGTCGACTTGTTGTTAGATAAAGCAATGAACCTATCATACTCCTGTATAAGTAAGATCAACAGCAGGTAACGAAGGTGTTAGCCAACCGCCATTGGTACTCTTAACTGTGCTATTCGTCATTCAAATTCGAAAATTCTTGGCTTTTCATGAATGTTTAAACAAGAAAATTATTGATTTTACCCATTCATTTCAAATTGGCTTTTCATCATTCGAATTCACTAGACAAAGCAGGGTCAGTAGAGCCAAAAATAATATCATCGACATAAATTTGAACAAGCATTAGATGATTCCCAAATTTCTTTGGAAATAATGTGGGGTCAACTGATCCTTGTTTAAATTTCGATTGTTTTAAGAAACTGGTAAGAGTTGCATACCAGGCTCTTGGTGCTTGTTTTAACCCATATACTGCTTTATCTAAAATATAAACATTATCAGGATACTCTTCATTTATGAAACCTGGAGGTTGTTCAACATAAATTGTTTCTTCGAGTTCACCATTGAGAAAAGCACACTTCACATCCATTTGATAAGCATCAAAATCTTTGTGAGCTGCATAGGCCAAAAATATTCGAACAGCCTAGAGTCTTGCGACAGGTGCAAAAGTTTCTTCATAATCGATACCTTCTTGTTGCGAATATCCTTTAACAACTATTTGTGCTTTATTTCGAATAATATTTCCATCCTTGTCGGTTTTGTTTTTGAAAATCCATTTTAATCATTGCTTACCATTTTGACACGTCTTCGAAAAAGTAGAAACATTTTCTTTTATAATCGTGTTTAAACTCTTTGCTACAAAACATAGACCTATGACATTGAAGTTCATTTTATGTGTAAAAGCTTCATTGAATCTTCAAAACACTTTTGTTTGACATTTTTAACAGCTTTCTCATTTAGACATTGTAATTTACTTTAATGTGTTTTCTCGAAACCCAACATGATATTTATGCAAATTTCTACTTCAAACATGTTTATAAGACATCTCTAATACTTGTATTTCAAAACATACCTTATTTGTGTACTTTGCTTCAATATGGTTTTATAATCTATAAAGTTTTTAAAAATTATAGCATTTGAAAACTTAGTGTTCACTTTTAAATTTCCAGTGATACACTCTCAACAATGAATAGCTATTCTTCTAAATATATTCAGTTTTTACCTTATCCATTTTAATCATTGTTGGACTTCCGTTTAAAAAGTCAAAATTGTCAGATTTTCAATTGCCATTTGTAGGGCTTCTTCTTTTTCACAAATGGAGTTTAACTTAATATGTAACTTATGAATTTTTAGCAATCCTTAGCAAACACTTTAGAACTCCTACATGTCTATTTAATCATCAATATACATCAAATATTGAAGTTTGAAATATATCTCAACCTGGTTTTAAATCTACCTATAGGTATTGTTCTTATAATTTTAACAATAGCAATCATTGACGCCGCTACCTTCCTTTTTCTTCCCCCCTAACTTGATTTCTCGCTCTCCTTCTGATTTTAGATCTCGCACGCCCATAATAGTAACATTATACCTTGTCTAACTTTGTTTCTGTCTATTTTGCTTCTCCTGGTATCATGTTCGTATACATAAAGACTAGAAAGTCTACCCTTTCGTTTTGAGCGATTAATACGTGTATAGTCATGAGGCATACCTTTGATTTAGTCAACTTTGATATATTTAATTACGCCTTTTATCATATACATCTTGTTTTTATTTTGAAATCTACTATAAACAAGAGATCCTTATTTACATTTGCTCTTTCGTTCTAAATTCGGAAACTTGATTTAAAATGCAA